ACACACACACACACACACACACACACACACACACACACACAACCAGAGAACAGTACGCCTCATCCAAAGCAGAGGCATAAAACTGATTCTAATGAGCTGCTGTTCCCATCACTGGTTGCTAAACTGAAGTTAGCATGCACACCTGATCTGCACATGAATCCTGCTCATTTCTGTCTGCTGACCAATAGAGGAGCTGACTCCAAAAGCTCCGCCCACCTTATTTGCATAATGAGGTAGAAATGCGTTAGGTAAAGTAAATAGAGGAGAGAGAAAAAGCAACACATGGAAATAAAAAGACTTGTGAGGAAAAACAAATCAGAATGATTTAAGAGACACAAATGCATGTACAGGTAAAAGGAAAAACAAACAAATTAATAACAATAACATTATCAATAATAATAATAATAATAATAATAATAATAATAATAATGATGCATGAGGTAAAAGTTTGGTTTGGTTAGTGGTCAAAATAACATGATAATATCAACATGTAAAAAGAAAAACTGCTAAATGAAAGCTGTGCAGAAGAAGATGTCAGGAATGTGTTGATGTGAACTGATGTAGAGTCTGATGGCAGCAGGAGGAACAAATGTGATCAGTGATTCTTTGAAGTTATTCTTGTGCTTTCTCTTCCACAACTAACATTTCTGCTGACCTCCTGTGCCTCAATGCCAGCTGTGGGTTGTGGAAGTTGTTGTGTGGATGAGAAGCTGAACAGTTTGAGAACCACTGCTGTCAAACTGCAGCAGCTCATTAGAATCCAGAATGTRCCACATGCCCTGCTCCAGGAACAAGCCCCACTGTCTGTGCTGCACTGAGGCTGTGAACGTGCAGAAACAGAAGGGAAGTAGAAGACTTACCCATCATGATRTCCTTCATGACTGAGTGCAGAACCACCTCCTCAAACATGTTCTCCACCAGGAGAAAGCGGGAAAAGTCTTCAAAAATCAGCTCCTGGAAGCGTGGCAGCTCCTAGTTTTCACAACAACAACAACAACAGGAGTCAGAGTTGTGCTCAGGTCTCCAGCTCACACTGCAGGAGCTCAGACACACACGTCCTCAGAGGAACTGACCGAGGAGCAGGACGGGCCCAGCTGCTTCAGCATGTAGGGGATGAAGATCTGGAGCAGAGCCTCCCTGAAGAAACGCTTCCTCACCGTGCTGCTGTCATAGTCGAACTTCTGCACAGCACAACAGGAAAAAGATGTGTTGCAGAGAACAAAGGTTTTTATGGTTATTTATTGAGAGAACTATTTTTATTGTGTATTTCTGCTACACAGAGCTGAATTTGAAGAGAAGCCTGAAACACTTTGAAGTAAGGAAAAGGTTTGTTTTGTTGGTCCAGAGGTGGAACGTCTTTCCTTCATGCAATGAAAAAATAAAGACTCAAACAAACCTGTACCCTTTTATAAAACTTAAAACTACAGAACATGATAAAAATTAATAAACGACTAAAATTCAGTTCATGAAAATCAGATTTTGAATTTTAGTTTTGATTTAAAGACTACAAAAATAAAATCAATGAAAGTGGATCTGACACGAAGAGAGARCTGTCAGCTTTACATGTTGCTCAAACTGCTGAGTCAGTTAAATGATTTCTGTAAGTCCTGCACCTGTCCACAGGTACAGGACTGTCTCTGAGCCTGCAGGGCAGCTATTATCCAGCAGCTGTTGTTTTGGATGTGTGAGGGAGGGATTTTCCTCCAGACTGGGTTCACTTGGAAAGGAGACWGTCTCCATTCTCACTACACTCAGCCTTGAGGAAAGCATGTGGCTGTGYTGTTACTGCTCCAAATGCCCCATCTGAAAGTTTTGGCATTTCAGTGTTCATGACTCTGTTTGCTGTGGGTTGATTCTGTTAACTGGAAGCTGCCCCCCACACCCACCCCTTCACARGTCTGGTGGGTTTGGTAGGTCTGAATTTGAAGTTGAGGAAGCTGAAGTTCTCGCTCCATGGTTCTGTAAAGATGTTTCACAGCTTCTGGGATTCCTTCCTAATATACTGCAGCTCTCTGAATGTTCCTTTTGACCCGGTGGAAAAATACAAGTTCAATTTTTTAATCATCATTTTAATCAATGATAAACTTTTTATGATTCTCACATCGGTTGTCTTTTGTTATTGTTGGGGGGATGGATGGTGGGTGTTGAGGCTTATAAAATGTGGATTTCATTTAATTACATTTTTCTATTATGTTGTATATGTTGGGTGTTTTGTTCACAAGAAAAAAAAMCCTCAAAATTCTTCCCTGTGAAGCAAATAAAAACAAAACAAAAAAATCATTTTCAAATTAAAGGTCCAGCCTGACAGAATTGTAAGGTCTATTGGGGTTCAGGTGACGTGTTCCTGTCTGGGTTTTACCTTAATGACTCGGTCCTGGCAGCGCTGGATAGTCTTGCAGAGATCCTCGGTATCCTGAGACTCCAGACTCTGATGAAGGATCTGTTCAAATGTATACACTGCATCATCCATTTGCTGTAGGAACACAAAGAAAACAGCTTTGGATTACAAGAAATATTTCAAAATAAAGTGCATTTTACCACCTTTATCTTATACAAGTGTTAAATTATCTGTAATTATCTCCTGGTCCACTTATTTTGTCACAATCAGCCTGTTTTTCATCAAACAAGTCKGACTGAGTGGATCAGTCATCAGACCTTCCAGCCAATCTGTCCTACTTCTATTGAACTGACTGTACTTTGATTTGAATCTGAATTGGATTTAAGATCTGGACTCCCTCTTTCCTTTGTACAGCGCAGAGATGACTTGTGTTGTGACCTGGTGTCAAGTAAATAAACTGAACTCAATGAATTCTCCAAGCTTTTTAAAGCAACATTATAGGAAATTAAATCCTGTCTCGGGAATTAAACTAATCCTCATGCCATGCTTACAAAATGAAATGAGGACTTTTCGTTTCCTTAGGCTGATCCATTTTTACTGTGTTTTGATGCACAACCATGTTTTTACCAGAAGACTATGGTCRTATTCACTCCTGATAGCCCAGTAGACTTGGTTCAATTGGACAACATAATTGYAAGATTAGTTTACACTTTCAGTTGGTGCGGTTCACACTGCTGTGTCAAACAGCTGGATTAAAGCAGACTAACTGTGAAAACACCTCATGTCTTYTAAMRATGGAGGGAAGAAAGGAGGCCCATTTAACTGCAATACGAACATTAGACACTGAATTATTATTTTGCCCAAGATTCCTTAAATATGACTGAACAAAGCACAYGGTCACCTTTCTCATGAGGATCTGGGCTCTTTGGATGAACACTGAGGGGCTAGAGACGTCAAACCTCTGCTGCAGACCCTCCAGACTCAGCAGTTCTACCTTCTCATAACAGCTCTGCATCTTCACCGGATGGAAGGCCAGCATGGAKATCTTCTCCATGTGCTGAGGAGAAAGAAGAAAATAACCTACCAGTCATGATGACGTGCTGTTGGAACATCAACAGGTTCAAAATTGTTTGTGTTTCCCCCTCACCTGGGCCACAGTGTCTTTGGTCCCATTGTTGAGGGAGTTCTTGCTCATTTCCACCAACTCCTTGAAGAAGACATCACGAACCTCAGAAAACCCTCTGCTGGTTGGCTCCATCAGAGCGTCCAGGATAGAGCTGATGTATGGCTGGATGCTCACCTTGAGCAACTTCTCCGCCTTCGGGAGAACCATGGCTGCAGGGGGGCAGGAAACATCAGATAGAGTCAGTCTGTATCAAACTGGATCCACCAACGTTCTGTAGGCGTCTTTATCACATTCAGAATGACATGGTCAACGTCTACCATCATGCTCTTATTAGAGGATAATTTTCCAAGATGAAACCTGCAGGTCAAACGAACAACTTCTTTTCCTGACAGGCTGCAGAGCAGCAGGAGACCAATGAAGAGGAGGAGGTGAAGGTGAAAAGTGTCATGGCTTCATAAAGCCAAATCTTAAAGCAAGGGTTACCCTGTCACACAGAACACCACCAATCAGAAACAAACTAGGAGGTTTCTGCAGAGCCTCACAGTCCTCCACAGAGTGCAGGAGAAACAGCTACAGGTGGCTTTTTACTGAGAATAAATAAATAACTAAAACAGTTCTATGTGTTGAATTAGTCAAACAGGCGATGGTGACTGAAACATTCTGTTTTACAGTAGCCATGTTTCCATCCAATCTTAATATGTATTTTGAGCAAACTTTTAAAATATCTCAAAAAAGAAATGTGAATCAGACATGTTTCCATCAACTGGCTTGGAGTGAATCAACCAGGTAACACAAAGTAATTATGTCAGATGATATTACACATGGCTGTAGTAAACAGGAAGTAGATGTCATAAACTCACTGGGATAAGTTATCAGGAACGTGTTGCTACTATCAGTAGATTTGAAAGAATTTTCTCAAATATAAACCTGGTGTTTCCCCTAGGAAATAGGTCTTGTGGGGGTGGGGGCTACTTGTTTTATAAAAACATACATTTACGTGACTCTCCTTCAACTAAGGAAATAAATTTATATTTTTTATATTTTTTATATGGAGTGCTACAGTGCNTGGTAACGGGTCAATCGGACAATTCTCAAAGTTATAATATCAGTATCGTATCGGAAGTGAAAAAGTGGTATTGGGACATCCCTAGTAAACACAAGGTGTTACAGGAGAAATGCTGCGAGGTGCTTTTAGAAATATAATATATATAAAATACAACGTAATTCTTGGTGGAAAACAGCTCAGGTGAACACCTCCCGGGAAAATCCTCAGCATTTCCTGGACTGAGTGAAGCTGACTCCCCACCCACAGAGAAAGAAAAAAGGCAGCGGTGTCAGTCAGACAGTATGACCCGCCCTGCTCTGTTCTGACTGGGTAAAACTTTGACTGTGGTTGTCTTTATTGGGTTGAAAGAACCGTCAGTTTAATCCTTAGATGACTTTAACAAGTTTTTTTTTCCCGTTCATTTTTACAATGAYGACCACTCATTGCTTTTTTCTTGGTTGTCCACCGGACAACTGGGAGGCGGGATCTGGTTGTCCGAAACGAAAATAGGTTGTCTCGGACAACCTAAACAATGGTTATGTCGACCCCTGAATAATAATAATAACTAGACATGGGTTTTTACGATGTAAAAACAAGTGTGCATTGCCACGTAGCATGTCATTGCTTGCAGCATTGGACTTTCAGAATGAACTTTGACCAAGTTCAAATGTGTTTTCTATACCAGCTTGTGCTTGTCAAGTCAGCAGGTGTTTGTAATTAAGGTAATTGTGTGACAATATGAAGTTTGAAGAGATTTTTTCTTAAAGTTGCATTAGCCGGGTTTTGAACCCTGATCTCCCACACGAAAGTCCATGACATAGACCATTAGACCAATGGAGCTGTGCCAGAGTGTGGTGCCAGGGGTTGGTTTGTATGTGCGCAGAAAGAGGCCACATTGCCAATACTATTATTGAAACTAAACTGCATAATATTACAACAATAGAGCAGTATTAAGACAATATTATAGTAAAACATCAAAATACAATCATATTAGTATTGTAAACACTGAACT